CACATCTGTGTGTCACCATTATTATTTGTATCAATTCCTCTTTCAATGTGAGGAAACTGGGCTGAAAATTACTAATATTAAGAGTTTTTCTTGTTAAATATAAATCTTGAGCAGATTATCAGGAAATATTTTGTTTCTGCTTGTTTTTCATCAAGGTAATTATTTTATACATGATAAACGATTTGACATTTAGTAAAGCCTCTAGTGCATCAATAGCATGATATCATGTGTAAGTTTTACATATTTTATAGCAAATAAGAGTAACTTTTCATTATTCATAAATTTACCTAAATATCAATTAAATGTTCAAATTTACTTCAGTAAATTAGTATATAGATTTCTCGTGTATGATGACACAAAAGAAACTTAGATAGAAAACAGTGACATTTATCATAGGTGTGTTTAATTTAGGTGACTATGATTATATGTATTAGAGAGAGAGGGAGAGAGAGAGAGGAAGATCTAAACAGAGTGTAGAGGAGAGAGATATTTAAATAGGGTGGACAAGTTGACATGTAAATTACTCAATGAGCTTATGCTAGTGAGTAGGCATGAGAAGGAAGACAGAAAACTGCTTTCTATTGGTTAAATTCAACTGCAGCAAGACCTGTAATGGTTTGAGCATCTCACAATGCAGTGTATAATGTAGAGTGTTCACATGTATGATACAGATTTTTCATATCACTTGCTTACTAATTTTACCTCTAACCATTTTAAGAAACTTCAATGCCAGAGATAAACTAACTGTAGAACCTAATTAATAGGGTTCTTTATGGTTGACTTATGTAGAAAGATTTTGCTTATACTAATTCACTTTCCATACTTAATTTCAAGCTTACTTTCCACCTTTACACTTGTATTTATTAACTCTAAGCTACCTTCTAAGGCAAGTGCATATTTCTAAATTTTAAAAATCTCTTATTAAAAAAGCCAGAATAATATAGTATTATATTCTCTATATCCTTGAAGAAAACATTCTATTGTTATACTGAAATGAAAAAAGAGAGAGCTATTTTAAGTAGTGTCTTGATTACTAATTAATAAATTACCATAGTGGTCCCCAAAATTCTTTTCACCACTCTGACAAACTTGAGAAATATTTCACAGTTCCCATTATGCAAGTAATTTTCAAATGGGAATTAAGCACTCTGAAATGAATATTAGAAAAGTGAAAGGACAGAGAACTATAACTAGGGAGGAGACTTCTCAAGTGATTCTTACACATTTTTGGGGAGTTCTCTTAAGAATCATTGACATGAAAAGATTGGCATATATGCTGCATAATTGATTCACATGCACACACACACATTTAAGAAAGAAGAATGACAGTAAGGAGGAAAGGGGACAAAATGCAATGAAAGGCAAAAACACACAAATCAAATATTGAATAGTTTATAGCTTTGTCTAGTGGTAACTTATTTGTATCATCTGACTCATCTCTCTCAGATATTTTATGAAAATGTCTAAAGTGAAGGAATTTATGATAGATTCTTAATTGGAGGCCACAGGCCCAAGGAAGTAACACTGGCTGTGTGGCCCTTGCTGCTTTGCACTTTTCCCTAATACTTGAACTACCCAGCCACTCACATTCTATTTTAAATATCTTATCATACAATTGCAATAAAATACATGAAATATTTCTTCCTGTTAATTATTAACAGCAAAACAAGTTAAAAACTCTCCAGGCTTCAAGGCAGATGATATATCCATGGACACCAAACAATAAGCATAAAATAGAAGACTTTATGCATATGATAATGATATTTCATCTTGTCTCTTTAGCATTCAAAATCTTACAAATATTTGATGTCACTTTGGCTTAGGATTTATTAAGATTGCTGTCTTTTCTATTTACCCACAAAAGAATTTGCCAGAATATTAAAATCAACAATGCCATGGATTTTAAACTAACTGCAAGAGATAAAGTCCAAGAAGACCTTAACATTTCTGTCAGCTTGACTAAACCTCAGGCAGGCTTCTTGCTGCTGTTAGGTTCCTGACCTTTTCTCATAGCAGCTCTTACAGATTCCAAATGGCCTAACCACAGAGGTCCCTCCTCTTCCATTTCTTAAACTATTTACTTGAGAAAACTTGTCTTTCTTTGTGCCTTGAAGTGTACGTAAATTCTTTCAAAAAGTTTCTTGCTGGTTTTACAATCCAGGAATGTCTTTTTCAAGGACCCAGGAGCCATCACTTTGAAATGTAAATATCGATCAAGATAGTGTTCCCCTGTGCCAGTTTCTCTGGGAGGGTAAGGAGCCAAACTTTTTATTCTCTTATCTGTTTTTCGCTGATGGTTTTATGATCTCAAGTCAGCTGGATTCATGGCTGGCTATTTCCTAGGTTTATATTCTTAGATTTTTGTGATCAAAGAGGAAAAGGAATCGACTTCATCCTCAAAACAATTTGAAAATTCCTAGGAAATGACACAGACATACTTGGATCATGTCGCATGCCTACAGCTTGAACCAACATCACTGCTGAGGAGGGGATGCATGTTTATCTCTGTAACAGGGATAGAATAGGATGAATGGATGGCTGGTGTGCAAGTCTAAGGGACTGGTTAGTGAAAAACAGTATACAAGTGTTTCATACTCTAGTAACAGAAATAAGTGACAGGGGTATATAGCAAAGAACTGAAATTTCCTCTGAAAAAGTATGATGTGCTTAATTTTTATGTTCTTTATCAAGAATTAACATTTCATATACAGCATTGTTAATTGCAAATAAAACAACTTCTCCACATAGTAATATAAATGACATAGGCTAGCTTCATTAGATTAATAAGCCAATGACTCCAATTTTTTAATTATGCACAATGCACCGTTTCTTTCAAAATAAGACATCTTTTAATTAGATAAATATGTCATCTATAGGTCATTGACAGCTAAGATGATCACTGATGATTCAGTTTAGTCCAAGGTAACTTAATACTCCCATGGAATTTCCAGAAAAATTTCATCTTTGAACCAAAAAGTTCTTTTCTAGTAAAGGATAATAGAGAAGTAAAATAAATTTCCAAATCCTTAACTTTTTCATACAGAGTAATGTAACCCAAGAGATAAATGCAACATTCCCCAGAAACACGTGTGAAGATGTCCTTTCAGTGGTGCAAACTAATTGTTTGAAAGAAAGCATATGATTGAAAAAGAAAGATTTTATTTAAAAATAAAATATTTTTTATTGTCAATATTTAATAAAATGTCATTCTTCTTAAGAAGAAGAAATATAAAATGTACTCAAAAGAAAAATATTTGGACCACCAAATAGTCATGGAAAACAATCCTTTCCATTTTTTTATGTTCATCTATAAGAATATTAAAATTGATGCTCTGGGAATATTTGCTAAATATATTCTTTTAAAAAGTAATAAAATAATAGTACTTCAATTGAATGATTGCAAGTGGTATAAATATTATTGCAAACACATAACAAATTGTCTATTTAAAACAAGTATCCTGTAAAGATTACAATTAGAAATAGAACAAAAATTTTTCATTTTCCCCCCAGTCTTCAAGCCAGTTGTCCAAATAGCATAATGCCAAATAATAAACCAAATAGCATAAGGCCAAATAATGAATATGATTATTAATATCATAGAATATTTTCATATCTATAGTTCTTACACAGAATATTATCAAAATGTTTTATATTCTTACTTATGGTGTCTTATCAGATTTGGCATGTAAACTAACCTTTACAAAGTTACTTATTCCACAAATGATATTGCAACAAAACACACTTATTTATAAAGATAAAAACTTTAGATATGAGATTTGGCATAATATTTTCTGTTTGTTGCAAAAGGATAATTTCATTTTTTCTCAGTGTTTTAATATCCTAAAAGAACAAAACCTTATGTTATTTGTGGACTTAAAGTTTAAAAATCAGAATAGGGATACAATACATATATGTACATTATGTTAATTTTTAATAAATCTCCTTTATAAAAATATTTTGGAATTATTATTCCATTTCCTTATGATATGATTTAACTAAAATTTGTTTTTCTGCTAATCTTTTCATTCAAAAGTCCAGTTTATTACCTTTTTTCTGTACTTATAATGCATAAACTTGAACAAAATATTCCTATAAGAAAATATTGCTATATGTTAGCTGAGTAGATTCTTCAGGGATTTCTGGATTCTAGCACACATTTCCATGGATTTTTATCAAGCATCTCTCTGTCTATATAAAACAGATTTAGATCATATGCCCTCAAAAATAACTGAAATGTGAGAATAATATTTTGTTTTCCCAGTACGCGGGCCTCTCACTGTTGTGGCCTCTCCCGTTGCGGAGCAACAGGCTCCGGACACGCAGGCTCAGCGGCCATGGCTCATGGGCACAGCCGCTCCGCGGTATGTGGGATCTTCCCGGACCGGGGCACGAACCCGTGTCTCCTGCATCGGCAGGCGGACTCTCAACCACTGCGCCACCAGGGAAGCCCAAACGTACCGTTATCTAGGATACAAATAATAACAAATTCAAACAATGAGTGAATAGAGAATACATACTAAAAACCTATCATGAAAGTATGATGGCCAAGAACTCTCGCGGTAAAACGTCAGACATAAACCAAAACAAATGATCATGACTTCTAGTAGTTCTGGGGCTGAACAACCTACTCATTTAAACAAAAGCACAGGTATTAAAAACTATTACATGAAAGGAAACTATCATGAGTCATTTATTTAAGTGTTGAGTGGACCATCACATTAAAATAACTGGAGTCTTTCAACACCCCATGACATACAGAAATAGCAAGTCAGACATATGGATCTGACAGGATATGATACAACCATTACAAACTCTCACTACAGAAGAATGGACACACGGTGTCATTAACCAACTAGCCAAATGAATACAAACAGCCAGTAAAGCTCACCAGTAAATCAAATGAATACAAAATAAAACAAAATGTGGTTATTCTCCTATCAGATTAAGCCAAGATTCTGTAAGAAAAGTCTTCAAAATGTCTATACTTTTTCCACGTTCTGCAGTACGCCACGGCCAGAAACCAGACACACCAGGTGGTAGAGGTTCAGGACCATAACATTCTTTACCAGCAGAGTGTTTCATTCCATTACTTACAGGTTGCTTTGCAGCCAAGCCTATGTTTGACAAAGCATGAAAAGAAGGAATCTTTATATGAAATATTTGGTTGCAAAAACTAGACCTACGTGTTAATATTTTATTTAGAACAAGCCACATATTAAAATTCACATTTAAATATTTAATTTGAACTTACTGAAAACAAACATCATAGGTTAAAAGGGTTATATTTATCCTTCAAAGCTACTATATTTTGTGTTATTTTATTTATTTATTTTAATAGATCTTTATTGGAGTATAATCGCTTCACAATTCTGTGTTAGTTTCTGTTACACAACAAAGGAATCAGCCATATGCATACACATGTCCCCATATCCCCTCCCTCTTGAGCCTCCCTCCCACCCTCCCTATCCCACCCCTCTAGGTCATCGCAAAGCACCGAGCTGATCTCCCTGTGCTATGCTGTTTCTTTCTACTATATTTTAGCACCATTAGGATGCAGGGTAAAATGGAGTGTATGTGGTAATATAGGACAAATATTTCATAGATGTAGCTTATTGATAATCACCACACGATCCTGTGAGATTTACATGCCTCTTAAAAATATATAGGAGCTCAGTTCATTTTGTGCTATTATATTGTGTTTTTTAACTTAATTACCATCAAAAAAAAATGTTTGTATGCATGTGGTTTGTATGTGTATATCCTTCCTTTACTTTCAGAAACGAATGCAAATACATTTGTATTTAAATGTGTAATTTAAATACAAATTTAAGTGTAATTTAAATTACACTTTTCTTGTTAGGCGATAAAAAAAATTTCTAATAAAAGTTCCCATCTTTTTTTTAGGCATACATAATTACAATATAAATGTGACGCCATTCACACCATTATTTCACCCCTATACTCACCTGGATCTAGGTATAGAGCCAGATACTGATTTGGCTTACCTCTATGTCTCCAAATAACTGAGGCAAATACAAAAAAAAAGCCCAAGAAATAAAATTACTCTTCAAATAGCTCAATGAGTTTGTATATTTCAGTTACATTTCCACTTTGTTGAATCATGCTAAATAAAAAAAAAGTTTAACTGTTTTCTTCTCATTCCATGATGCCCTTTTATATACCACCAGGTACTAATTTTACAGAATTCCTAATATACATGCTTTATTTATATATATTTCCATTTCTAATATCATAGCAAAAGTCAACTTAGCTATTTTAAGAATACTTTACACGTGATATAAATTTTTAATAATAATATCTAATTAGTGTGATACCACAAATCTTTTCTTTGTATGTACTATTTCATTATTAAAATATCACTCTCTTGAAATAACAATTGGCAGACAATCATAAGCTTTTTTTTGACTTCATAAACACTCTTAACAACTTCTATTTAATACGTTATTGTCCAAGCAAGTTGATTAATAGAGAATCAAAAACCTGGATTGAGAGTTGAGAGGCGGTTGAGAGTCCGCCTGCCGATGCAGGGGACACGGGTTCGTGCCCCGGTCCGGGAAGATCCCACATGCCACAGAGCAGCTGGGCCCGTGAGCCATGGCCGCTGAGCCTGTGGGTCTGGAGCCTGTGCTCCGCAACGGGAGTAGGCCACAACAGTGAGAGGCCCCGTACCACAAGAAACAAAAACAAAAACAAAAATACATCTTTAAGTAGAAAAAAAAAAGCTGTATTTATGAAGATGTTTACAATAGTTTATTTTAGGTTATTTCCAGTTTTTCACCAATTTAAAAAATTGACCAACTCAATTAAAACCTTGTAAATACAATGTTAAAAAGTATAACTATGAATCATAGAATTTAAATTTAGTATGAAAAGAGAAGAATGGCAAATTATTTTGAAGCTACGTGGAATTATGTTTATGGACAGCAGGAAGAGAAAATAAAAATGTAAATATTGCTTGATAGGATAATGGAATTAGAGGTGGTCTTTTAAATTTTTCATTCTTATGCTAATACAATACCTTTATAAAACACCCAAATCTTCAAACAACACATTTAAAAAAAATTGTGGTAAACTACACAAAACAGAAAATTTATCATTTTAACCATTTTAAAGTGGACCGTTCAGTGATATTAAGTCAACAAATTTTTAAAACTTTCAGAGGGCACCTGAATAAAAGATGTGTTGTCCATTGGTGATTTTAATGTATCTGGTATATAACTAAAGTCACCACAAAACTCTTTCTGGGAAATTGGCAGATCATAAACATAAAACATTTATTTTGCTTTATATTAAACCTTATTGTTCTGCTGTTTCAAAATTCAAAGTTACTCACAAGAAAGAGTCAGTTTCATATTAGATTTGGTTTCACAAATGCTGCTCCTGCTATTCATTCTTATCACCAACAAAAAAGGACAATTTGTGACTAACCATAATATGTTCCAGAAAATAAAAAGTTAAGGTCTCTTAGAAACAATACAAACGTTATCAGTAGAAGTGAATTCTAGGAAATTTATATATTCAGGAGAATGTGAAACTTACACCACTGATTGTTAAAGGCTTTTAAAAGCTTTCTATTACAATTACATTTCATAACAAAATAATAGGCTTAGTTGTAAAATCCTGGGTTAACTACCATTTGGAAAATTAAATATACATTACAGTAAACATTTAGAAAATGGTTTTCTAAAATGTTCAATCTAGGTAAATAAACTTGTCTGTAGAAGTCTTTTATAAGGATCATACATATTTCAAGTTTTTTTAATCATTCACAGAAACAAGATATTACCTGATTCAAAAATTTAGGTAAGCATTTCTAAGAAAGAAGCAGGAAACAATGGGAAGGTTGGAACTGAGAAGAAATTTTGTTTCTTGTAGCGCAAAAGGTAATTCTGCATTTAAAAAAAATCATTCCTCAAAAGCACCACTACTAAAATTATCATCAAAGTGCACCCCAAATTACAATTGCAAAGTGTCAGAAGTAATTATCAACCAGGAAATATTTTCAAAATAACGAAGTTTTTATGAGATCCAAACAATAATGTTGGTTAATATTAACATCTCTTTAAATTCATTTATTATATCTATATTCTATAAATTCTCAGAAGTCTCAAAATAATCATAGGCTTCCTAATATGCATGTGGTTAATATTGGCTGCTTTAATTTTAGCACACCAGAAAACAAAAGGGGTATAAGTTCAGAAAGAGTTACCAACTCTAATCGTAGCTTTTCCTTTTCGATCACTTCCCCAAATTAGAGTTCTCTTTTTCTGTCTAGCAGCTTTGGATGGTTCCTTCACGATGGAGAAGTTATCCACTGGTACTGAGACAGAAATGATAAATATGCCATTTAAGTTTCAGGTAATTTAGGAGGGTTTGATCTTCATTGGAAATTAAGATACTTTAAGTTAATAAAAGATTTTCAATCTGCATTTCTGGAAACCTAAATTAAAGCATCACACAGCATTTTCAAAAACAGAAAAGCCATTTCATTTGACTAAACACTTAGTTTTAAGATGGCAGAAAGTACCTTGTAATTTTCTTTTAAGAAAGAAAGAAAAACAAGCCATTAAAGAGAAATTCTTCCGAGAGAACTGAAACGTGTGATATACCTCTGACTTGGCACTCCTTCCATCTGGAGAACTTTTTGGATAACTGCTTTCATCACACAATGATCTAAAGTAAAATAAATTGAGATTAGAGTAATTAGTTCCCAATGAGTGGCTATTTCCATTTAAAACCAAAAGCCAACTAATTATTGCTTTTCCCATAAATGTAAATACGAAATCTACATTATGTAATTATACACTTATCTCCCCCTTTGTGTATTCTAATTTCTTCCTCAGAAACCTAAGATGCCATCTTGCAGACTGCCTCCAGTGGCTACTATTTTGGCAGCAGCAAAGGTCAACTTTAAACATTTTGCATCTAAAGTGGCTTTGGATACCTTTGGATAGAAAGTACAGTCTGAGCACTGTCCAGACACTTAGATACCTAAAGGGCATCTAAGATAACAAACCAAAGTCCTGATATTCCCTCAAAAGCTGCTCCTCCCATCAGCTCCCTTTTTCTAAGTGATACCACGCAGTTGCACACATAATCATCAACGACTTGTCTCCTTGTTACTATTCCCTTCATACCCCACATCTAATCTATCGGCAAGCCTTGTTAGTTACACCCTCAAAACACAACCTGAATTCAACCACTTTTCACTTGCTCCAAACTTCCAGCCTAAGCTAAGCCATAAACATCTGTTTTTTGGACCACTGTGATAGTCTCCTAACTGGTCTCCCTGTTTCTCTTCTTTATCCTCCCAAGTCCATCCTCTATACCAGGTCACCTTATTCAGATACTATTTGGATCATGCCGTTTTCCAGTTCAAAACCCTCTATTCATTTAGAATAATCCAAATCTTTACTCTGGCCTTCAAGACTTTACAAGATCAGACCCCTGGCTAGCTCCTTGACCTCATGTCATACCACATCTTCTGCACTCAGTCCTCTGACCATGTTAGCCTCCTTGCTTCTCCTTAAATACTCCACCCACCTACCTGCCTGCATATTCATTGCCTCCTTGCTTTTCCTTAAATACTCCACCCACGTATATGCCTGCATACTCATGGGCTCCGTGTCCTGGAATGTGCTTACCCCAGATTTTCCATGGCTTGCTCCTCTCTTCATTCAGGTCTCCATTCAAATGCCACTTCTCCAGTGAAGCTGTCCCCTAACAAACCTGTCCAATGGAGTCCTACCTGCCCCCGCTCACTCTCTTTACATTAACATATTTTTGCACCTCCTACTATCTAAAATTATATTACTTATCTGTTTACTCATTTCTATCTGAACTCCTTCACTAGAATGTAAGCTCCATGAGGGCAAGACTTTTGTGTGTCTGGTTCACTGCTTTATCCCTAGTGCCTAAACACGTATCTGGCACACAATAGGTATTAAAAAAATTACTTGTGAAACTGACAAATAAATAAAGTACTCCTTGCAAGAATTCAGAGGTTGCATAAGAAAGAAATAATGCTCTTGGTGGAAGCAGGCTTAGTATCTAGGTGCACCGCTTTCTGAGTAGAGATGAGAACAATTTACAAGTATAACTCACTTTAATTAGTAAATTATCTGCTAAAAACATAAGGGACGTACAACATTAGAAAAGTACCAGGGTTTTTTTGTTGTTTTTGTGTTGCTTTTTTTTTTTTTTGCGGTACGCAGGCCTCTCACTGTTGTGGCCTCTCCCATTGTGGAGCAACAGGCTCCGGACACGCAGGCTCAGCGGCCATGGCTCATGGGCACAGCCGCTCCGCGGTATGTGGGATCTTCCCGGACCGGGGCACGAACCCGTGTCCCCTGCATCGGCAGGCGGACTCTCAACCACTGTGCCACCAGGGAAGCCCAAAAGTACCGTTTGCTAGGATACAAATAATAACAAATTCAAACAATGTGTGAATAGAGAATACATACTAAAAACCTATCATGAAAGTATGATGGTCTCGAACTCTCACGGTAAAAGGTCAGACAAAAACCAGAACAAATGATCATGACTTCTAGTAGTTCTGGGGCTGAACAACCTGCTCATTTAAACAAAAGGGATCATCACAAAAGCACAGGTATTAAAAACTATTACATGAAAGGAAACTATCATGAGTCATTTATTTAAGTGTTGAGTGGACCATCACATTAAAATAACTGGAGTCTTTCAACACCCCATGACATACAGAAATAGCAAGTCAGACATATGGATCTGACAGGATATGATACAACCCCTACAAACTCTCACTACAGAAGAATGGACACGTGGTGTAATGAACCAACTAGCCAAATGAATACAAACAGCCAGTAAACCTCACCAGTAAATCAAATGAATACAAAATAAAACAAAATGTGGTTATTCTCCTATCAGATTAAGCCAAGATTCTGTAAGAAAAGTCTTCAAAATGTCTATATCCTTTTGATGCAACAACTCTCTTTCTAAGAATTTAACCAAAAGAAATAGTCAGAGATATAGGTAAGGATATATATCAGAGTACTGTTTGTAACTGAAAAACTGGACATACCTTTCATACAAGATTGGATAAGTTATGTGTACTGTGGCATATTCATATAATGGAACACTGAACAGTCACAAAAAATGATGCAGTAGATGCAAATTTACTGACTTGCTAAGATGGTCATACTAAATTAACTGAAAAAAGGTATAAAATTTGGAGTAATCCCACTTGCATAAAAAAGGGAGAGGTACTCATTTTTGTAGTCTTTCAGTTTTTTACAAGTGCTACCAGCCAGTGTTTGTGAGAGGCAGGCTTCACATCCACTCTTGGGGTGGACCACAAATTGGCATAGCCTTTCTGGGTGGTGATTTGGCAATGTGTATCAAAAGTGTTAAAAATATGTCATACTTACTCATTCCACTTGTAGTACCTTATTCTACACAAGTAAGCCCAATGGACACAAAGGTGTATATACAATGTATTCACGTTGCTTGTGACAGGGAAAAGCAAACTGTCTAAATATAATTGCAAAGAATTGATTAAACTATGGGACATCAATATGATGGAACATTACATGATACCTCATTAAGTGAAAAAAGCAGGAATATGAAATAGCAAGTATACTACAATTCTATTTTAGTAATCCCTAAGTGTATAAATATATTTATATATTAAAAAAAGGACTGAAAATATATACACCAAAATGAACAGTGATTATGTCTGGGTATTAAGCTTATAGGTAACTGTTCTCTTGTTACTGTGTATTTTCTGTAAAGAATACATGCAACTCTTAGAGAAAGTTTAAAAGCAACGTAAAAGCTATCAGAAAAATGAGGCTTTGAAAAAAATCCTATCACAACAGTATCACGCCAAAAGCTAAGCATATATTATATTAAAAATTCAATATTTTCAATTTTAGAATTTACCTCCAAGCCATAAATCCTCACTAAGAGATTTTGCAAAAGCATGAACCAAGGTCACCAATGAGCTTGTTGCAGTTCAGAGTGATGCGCCTCCAACCAGGCATACAGTCAAGATCAGGTCTCCTGGAACGAAGACTCTCAGCCCAGGTTTCTTCATGCCTTCTGGTAGTCTGATACTTCAAAGATTTAATGGGACAAAATTAAGATGCTTCAATAAGGAAACAGGGTGTGCCTACTGAGTATGGCTTATTATGTCAGAGATTTACACACACACATATCAAGCATATGTGCCAGGAGAATCAAGCTGAGAAATTAAACAGTCAGTTCTGCTTTATGAGTCCAGTGACCCACATTCTAGTCGGTCAGTGATTAGATTCCAGCCACTGGATGACCTGTTTTTGAACAGTTATGTAAAGTTGGACAACTCAATTACAGTCTAAGAATTATTTTCCTTATCTTCTAAGTCAGGGAATTGGTTCTAAATTCTATCATTGCTGAGGCTCTAAATGTCATCATTCTGTCCTCCACTGGTCTCCAAACACCTGACTGGGCAACCCATAAGAAAACTTTTTAATATGCATCTTATTTTTTAACAAATTATATACACAAAATTCTACACATTTAACTTACGTACATTATAAACTACACAGATAGTTTTTCATGATACAAAGCTAAATAGGTTCTAATATTTTCTTGCCCTAACTCCTAAGGCATTATTTTATTTTATTTATTTTGAAAAAATATTTATTTATTTGTTTGTTTGTTTGTTTGGCTGTGCCGGGCCTTTAGCTGCGGCCTGCCGGATCTTTTACTTATTGCATGTGGGATCTAGTTCCTTAAGCAGGGATCGAACCGACGTCCCCTGCATTGGGATCGCAGAGTGTTAACTGCTAGACAGTCAGGGAATTCCCAGGCATTATTTTAAAAACTATATTCACAAAATGGATCTCACATGCTACCTAGGGTATGCACACAAACTTCAGAGGCCTGGACTATGCAGAGCCAGTTTGATGTGCCTTGGGAAAATTATGGTTTGACATTTAACCACAAGTCTTGTCTTAAAGACATTCAATTCTTTATATTCATAAAATAAACTCTGGTAACAGGGAACACTGACTTTAAATGAGAAAAGTCTTGTTACATTCTTGAAAAAAGACTCAAAGTGCCTTTGACACTCTAAAAGGAAAATCATTAGTGTCATTTTCCTATTAACAATAGCTTATAAAAGCTCCAAGCAGAAATACCAGCAATCACTTACACAGTGCTTGGTATGTGCCAAGCACTATTTATACAAATGAGTTCATTTAAACCTAAATGAGGCCTAGAGGTTAAGTGATTTGTCCATGATCACTAGCTATGAAAAGGGAGAAAGGGAATTTGAACCCAGGCCATTTGGCTTCGGCACCCAAGCTCTTGACTGTTTTCTCCCCCAGGGGTCAGTGGACTTGCCCTGTAGAGGATCAAAGAATTCTTCAATTTTTAAAATCTAAATTTAAACATTTCCAGCTTTGTGGGCTATACAGTTTCTGTTGCAACTACTCAACCCCACTGGTGTAGGCTGAAAGTAGCCATAGCTACCATGTAAACAATGGGCGCGACTATGTTCCAAAAAAACTTTCTTTACAAAATCAGGCGACAGGCTGGATCTGGCCCACCAGCCATAGTTTACCTATCCCTGATCTGCACCAGCAAAGTACTAAAAAGGCTTCATGTCGAATTATTAAATACTTTAGGCCTAAATACAGTAATTAGAGCCACTGTAAACTTGTTAAGGCATTAGTTGAAAAACTG